TTGATCTGTTATATTTCAAGCTAGGGCAGATTCAAATATGGCCACACAGGGATGATATAATACAACATATGCCTGAAACATATCGTAGAGACTATCCAACAACATTAATTATCATTGATGGGACAGAAGTCAAAACACAGACCCCATGTGCTGTAAGTTTGCAAAGTCAAGTCTACAGTGATTACAAGTCCTCTTCTACTCTTAAGGGTTTGATTGGATGTGATCCAAATGGAAGCTTAATGTTTGTTTCAGAACTATTTACTGGTTCAATATCTGATAAAGCAATCACTGAACAGTCTGGGTTTTATGATGTCATTAAGTCAATGAAAGAAATTGGACACATTAATGAAGGTGATGGCATCATGGTTGACAAAGGTTTTTCTATCAAGAATGAAGTTGAAAAAGTAGGTTTGAAGCTGAATATACCTCCAAAAGGAAAGACAGGAAAACAATTCAACATGGGAGAAAATTCATGTACAGAAATAGTGGCAAAGCACAGAGTTCACATTGAGAGACTTATTAACAAGGTGAAACAATATAAATTATTGTCAAATTGTATTCCAACATCTCTATTCTCAAGGATAAACAAGATTTGGTCTGTTTGTTGCCACCTGACATTATTTCAGGATGTTTTTGTTAAGTAATGGTGCATATCTAAGTTGTTCAATGAGGTCAAGCTACTACTGTATACAGCAACTCGTAATAAAACTAAATTTCAAACTCTTCTGAAATGTTTTTAAGTTAGTTGCACCTCTTTGACATAGATATCTAGATATATACCTGATAAGATAGTGCAGAACCAATTGGCACATCTCCCATAGGAGTTTGCACCGAAGGCAAATCATGTTGTGCTGTTCTATGCAGGAGTGGTGTGCCCTGTAGAGTTTGAAGACTTGCCATATCAACCCTTGGTAGCCTGAAATACACAGACATACATACAGATCATATACAAAAAAATCATCTTACAGTTGTGTTTGTAATATGAATTGCACTTAACATTAAAAATGCAGATTTTCTATCATGAATAGAGAATTCCTTCATTCTGTTACATAAGGGCAGTTATCATTCTTAACTTGTAATCAAGTAAAAATGTACAAATGTTTCATGGATATCTTGAATTATCAATTTTAGCAAAATGTCTGATGAAATAATAAAACTATTCTTGTAATTCATGTCGGTGTGGCATTGTATTGGCTTCCGCTTGCGTTGCTCAGTTGGTCTAGCAACCACAACCTGGCTGATAGGCACTGGCAAGATTTTGTCTCCCCTTGGCTTGTTCCATTGTTGTGGCATGGATGTGGAACTCAAATCAGATGGAATTTCTTTGAAGTTGTGGAGCTTGAATCCCTGCAATGTCTTGATCAGATATAGACTTCCCCTAATCTAGATGAAAACACAAAGAACTAATTTATTTAGCAGATTATGAGTAGATTTTATAGTTTACCTTGTTTACTTGATACTCAGTAGACTGGTTCTAAAAAATAGATAATGCCGTGATCATACAAATGTTCTAACCTAATATTTAAGATTTTCTTCAAGCATGGATTTATTGGGAAAATTTAGGACCAAAATTGTGGTATATGTGCATTAATTCACTTTGACAATTTTATTATTAGAAATGACTAAAAACTTCATAAACAACATTTGATTTAGGGCCTCTCACAATAATTAAAACCAAACGGTATTTTGACATTGACAAGTTTGGCCTCTACGTTCTAGACCCTTTCAAGATTGGCTGCACTATGCATCACAATAAATTAGAATCGTACGCACACATTTTCGTAACAGGTATAAAATCATCTCCGAAAATAGCAACTTACCCAGCTTTACAAGAGCAATAAGCATTTTTGATTCGGATCACATCAAGGTCAAGTGACAGTCGACGAGGCGAGTTGTTTTTTCTGAGTGATGGCCAACACTTGTCACCTCATGAATGTAGCCTTGCTGGTAATAATTAAGTCCCTTTTGCATGCTCTTAGTCGATATTTGATCAGCAATCGGTAAAAAGGACACAGAAAAGTTTTCAGGAATGCATGCGAGACAATTGCTTTGCTCGGCGGCGGCCATTTTTGTTAGAAAGCGTGGGTATCCAAGGGGGCGGGGCATAGCGAAGATGCGCGGATCCATGAATAGAACACCCTTGGGACGAGATTCAAAGAAAACTGAATGATCTCCACCCAAGGCGACAACTGCGGCTGGACTCGATCAAGCATTTCGCAGAGTATGGACCCAAGTGCCTATGGCCTTCATCAACCGGCTAATTCATTCCATGTACAGACGATGCAACGCTTTCATCAATGCCCATGGAGGCCATACACGATACTGACTTTGGGGTACCTTAATGGTACCATTTTTGGTGATTGTGTTTGTGTGAACCCTAAATGTGATTCCCGAACATGTGTTAACCATAATGGTCAAGTTTGAACTCAATCCTCCGTTTTGATTGTTAATTAGAGTTGATTAAAGTGTGTGCTTTAAGAAACCGCCATCGGTGCGACATTTCTTTTGTGGTTCAGTATATTTCACATTTAGATCTATATACAAAGGTTCAGAGAGACAAGAACTCTCCACAAGGTTGTTTGACAAAAGGGATGATTTCAATTTTCCAACAGTCACCTTTCATGTCGAGCAATGTTCCAACAGGTCTTTACATTTCACAACTTTTGAGGTACAACGGAGCATCCTCTAATTGCCAAAATTCAAAGAACGGCACTGGACTCTTGCTCACATGTTGTTAGATCAAGCTTACAACATTCAAGGCCCCAGTAAAGCTTTCAACAGGTTTTGGGCATTTGGAGGACATTGCCAAAGTTGTTGATTTGTTGTATGTCTGATTAATGCCCTGCCAATGTCGCTAATCTTGTGGCCAAAGGGATCATTTGGGAGGTGGGGACGTCATCATCTGGAGTGGGAGGACTGCATAAAGGACGCCAATGGATTGTGGATGAGAAAGACTTGAATGGAATGAGGAAAAGAGACGAGATTTTGCAAATGACCTCAACTATTTCATATTTAGATCTATAGACAAAGGCTCAGAGAGACAAAGAACTCCCCACAAGGTTGTATGACAAAAGGGATGACTTCAAAGAACGTCACTGAACTCTTGCTCAGAAGTTGGCTGATTGTCTGATATCTATTACACAGGAGACGTCATGCCGTTCCTCACATCATTACAATTAGCCTTGGAGAGAAGATGTGAACCTCTTTCTCCGATTTCCTCTTCGTTGTCGAACAACCATAAGCTGATGATCGATATGGATGGACATTTCAGTTTCATGACAAACACATGCGGTTGATTTAGATTTAGATTTTAAAAGATCTTATAAAAGTGTCATCAACATGACTGAAGTATTTGCCAGGAAATTGTCTGAATTTTGTTTGTCTGAAACTTGGTAGGTATCGTAAACAACCAGTAATATTTACATAGATTTTATTAAAGTGTTATTCGTTACCGAAAATCTGTAAATTACGTTCTCTAAGTCAATATTCGCAAGAAGGTGAACAATATATCCATTGTTTGTTAAACAATAACACAGTATTAATATGATCCTAACGGTGTAAATTTTCCTCGTTAGAAAGGATGATATTCTAAAAAGCGAATGTGAAATTATTTATGACGTGTCAAGAATATTTTATAGTCAGAAAAAGCTTTGAAACTGAAACCTTATGATATAATAAAACAAAGTGTTATTTATCCTTAGGACTGGATACATATGAATTCATTTCCTTTTTGCTTGTTTCATATGGTTTTCATGTTCAAGGTCTGTAATCGATGTTGATACATTGTAGTCAGGTGAGTAAGTGAGTGAGTTTAGTTTTACGCCGCACTCAGCAATATTCCAGCTATATGGCGGCGGTCTGTAAATAATCGAGTCTGGACCAGACAATCCAGTGATCAACAGCATGCGCTGTCGATCTGCGCAATTGGGAACCGATGACATGTGTCAACCAAGCCAGTGAGCCTGACCACCCGATCCCGTTAGACGCCTCTTACGACAAGCATGGGTTACTGAAGGTTCATTCTAACCCGGACCTTCACGGGTTTGTAGTCAGGTACATTACAAAGATAAATTTGGGTAAACACATTTGACAAGCAAGATGAGTTTATACTGAAACCTCCCACTTTTGATATTTTGAAACTTTGACAAACAAGTGTTGTTCTCACTGTGAACATGATTTCATTCAATAAAAATGACATAAGTATTTGGTAGTTACTTTATGTCACATGGTGCACATGTTCTGAGAATGTCTCTGCATATTCCAGGTGCGCTGTTCTTATCTGTTTTATCATTGACATACCTTGAAACATTTGTCTGTGCATGTAATAACATTTCATTGGCGGCGGTAAAACTTTAACACTGATTATATTTGTATGTCACAATAACTTTTGCCTTTCAGTTTACATAGTGCATAATTGTTTTATATCAATTACGTGTAAAAGTATGAGTACACGAGAGGATCTTGTTTATCGCCGCGTGTAGACATAGTCACGCCATTTGAACATGATTTAACGTGACATGATTAAAATATGGAACTCACAGCAAATTGTGGTACCTTAAACGACTTGACCTTTCTTCATGCCCCTTGGGAAGGCTGTAGCCACATTTCTGTCAGTGTGTTGTTCAATGTAGAACTAGACTCTGCGCATGACGGATATTGGTCGTGTTTAACAACAAAGCTGAGTTTTTGAATATGCATTGTTATAACTCTACATGGCATTAGTTATCGATCGCCTGGTGTCATCACTGATTTTTACATTTTCACGTCTCCTTCGCTATTTCCATCAAATGGAATCAGTTTTCGAGGATAGCAAATATCTGATTTTCTTTTGCGTTGACGGTTTCTGTTATATATTTAAGGAATCAGTGTTTGTCACTATTTAATACCGTTGATGAGATTTGAACATATGAACACATCCCATAATTCATAACAATCGCCCTCTTAAATAATTCTAAAATCTAAATTGTTTTTTAGGGGACCTGCTTACTTCACGCCAGTTTAGAACGGATGAACTAAAAGATAACAGATTGAGGTCACACCGGCGTATATAAAATATAATTTAGGCACAATCACCACAGACATTCCAGATGGAACCAATGGTGAGGATAATTTAAACCATTTCTTTATGCGTTTCTACTGACATTATACTGGAGAACCATCCAAACTGACAGATGGTAATATGTCAGATTTCAAGCTCTGAGGCTAGTCAGCCAAAATTAGATTCAATAACCTGCAGTTGCTGATTGGTTTGCGAGCAAAAAGCAAAATAGCGGTAAAAAGATGTATGAATGGATCACTGAAAGTCAATTATGAACAGGGTGCTCGGGAAACGGGTGAGCATGACCTGGCTTACTGATTAACAAAGCTTTCTTATGTAGGAAGAGCGCACAAAGTATTCTTATTCTGCCTTATGTTTGATAGCAGCCGGAAACAATGATCTGCGTATCGTTAAACATTTCTAATTGTTTTGTTTCAGATGTGGTCCGTCATCACACTGTGCGCTTCGCTGCTCTGTTATGTGGCAGCAGGTAAGTCGTTGCTATAGTTTAATGAAGATAAGTGACCCTTTTCGGCACACGGGATATCGACCAGGACCCAGTTCCCCACAATACTGACTTGGACCCCGATCCACAAAGTCTTGACCTGGACCCAGTTCCACAAAGTATTGACCTGGACCCCGTTCCACAAAGTATTGACCTGGACCAAGTTCCACAAAGTATTGACCTGGACCCCGTTCCACAAAGTATTGACCTGGACCCAGTTCCACAAAGTATTGACCAGGACCCAGTTCACCACAGTGTTGACCTGGACCCAGTTCGAAAAAGTATTGACCAGGAACCAGTTCAACAACGTATTGACCTGGATCCAGTTCCACAAAGTATTGACCTAGATCCAGTTCCACAAAGTATTGACCAGGACCCAGTTCACCACAGTGTTGACCAGGACCCAGTTCCATAAAGTATTGACCAGGACCCAGTTCCACAAAGTATTGACAATATTATATAGCGTTGACTACAGTTATATCCATCTTAACTACTGCCTCACTGTTGTGATATTCAAGTGGTTGTCCTCGTTACCACGCAGGTTGTTAGAAGAGAAGCGGGACGGTTACGGACTGGAACTTTGAATGTTTGTCCATTCCACCACTCCAATGACGTTATCAATTTGTATTTCAGAGCAACTTGAACTGATTGATACGCCAGTGAGCTTCTCAGAAGCCGAGAAGGAATGTGTTGCGAAAGGTGGCCATCTTGCATCCATCCACGACCGAAACCATAACGACAGACTGAAGGACAAATGCAGAGGTTCTGGTAAGTTTAATATCTTGTTGCATGGTTGTATACATATGAGTCACTTCTATGAGTTGCATTCCAGCAATCAAACCGACTTCAATTTGAGTAATAGAGGTTGGTATATATTACCATAAAATTATTAAATTGGATCATTGAAAATCAACGATGACAATAAGTGTTCGAGAAAAGGGAAAGCATGTTCTGCCCTACTCAGACAAAAGAAGTTTGACATCACGAACCAGCATTTGTTTGGCATACATTTGTGTAAACGCTTTGTCAGCAATATTATCACCGCATCATACAGGGTTGTATGTAATGATAGTCTCGGTTATGAAGCTCGGGGATGATACATGGACATCTTCTCACACTCGAGTTACAAGGACAAAAGTCATTGTAACTGCATGGTCCACACCCGGCTACCATTGGTCAGTGGATTGCCTGTTCGTGACTGAATTCTATAGGTGCAATAATGCTGAATGCAGCGTTAAGAGTCCAACCATCAAACAAATCCATACTTTGCTATTATAACATACCAGGTACTCAGCACAACTGCTGGATTGGTCTGAAGAATGATGGACAAGGCTGGAAGTGGACCGATGGCACCACAGTGGACTACACATTCTGGCATGCCGGTAACCAATTTACTTCTCCAAGATATCATATCTTTGAGTGACGTTTTAAAAGCAGAATTAATGAAGACAGGGTTTACTGATTGATTTCAATGTATATATTCTTCTCAAAGCACGCAAAGGAACCGGCATCCACTAAGTCGTATTGAAAGAATAAGGTATCGAGTGTTAAAATTCTATCACGACATGTCTCTTATTATGGAAGGAAAGTCTTAACGTGATGTAGACCGTAGGTGTTTACAAACATAAGGAACCAAGAATTCTATTCAGTACAAATATGGTATTCGAGCCACGATCATCAGCTTCTGGCACACTGAGAGGCGCATGTCTGTACACACGGTCGAGCCATCCCCGGAAACATCATCAGGGTTTTTTTTCTGTTTGAGGGGCACAATCCTGTGATTAGCTGTTCTCTCAATTTCAGGAAATCCCACTACCGAGGCCGGGGCAGTATGTGCTGCCCTCATTCGCCAATACAGCGACCGTGGCGAGTGGATATCAGAACAATGTGACGCCCCCGACACAAAAGCAGTGGCAATCTGTTCTATTGGTGGAAGCCAGAACCCCAACACAGGACACACCAGCCAGCCAGTCACATCACAACCACTGACGCCAAACCCAGGGACGTCAAAACCTGTAACCATGGCAGTAACTGATATAGGGAAGGTTGCAGCTCGAAGTACGTGAGGACGTGAGATGATTGAAACTTCTATAATCCAGACATTTAACTAATGTCTTTTTTTAATATATTGATGTACATTTTACCTGTATCATTTTTGTCCAAGATGGATATGGTGCATGTAAATGATATTTGTTTTGGTCTTACGCTTTCCTTGAAGAAAACTATATCACCGGGATTGATTTTGAAGGAAAGCCCCAGGTGATGCAGTTCTTAGACGTTTGCCACTGAAGTGGAGACGTGAAACCCATCAGCATGGCTGATTTAACGAATCGTTAAACATTACCAAGTCCAGTTTGAGATTTACACTTAATGTTTTGTTTTTGGGAACGCCTGGGGCCTTGTGGAGTCATTGTCGACTTAGACAAACGTGCCCCACCTATGCATTTCAGATTTATTTCACATAAAGAGTGTCATCGTTATTAATTATTCAGTTCTCTGTTGTTTTAAAGACGATATACTCAAGGGGTCAGTCAACCTTTCATACACATTTTGTTTCATTGATGTTGTAGTCTCGTGACATCAAAACTAGGAATCATATGATGTGACGAACAGATGCCAACAATACAAGGTTAACACAGTGAACCTAAATTTACAGTGACGTCATTTACATTAGAAATTCGCCTTCACTGACACACATATTTTGTTCCAAGATGGAGGCCGTTTAAAGATTCAAGGAACGCACTTTGAAAAAGATGGACAGCGTGTATTTTTGTCTGGCGTTAATCTGGCTTGGATAGCGTACGGGTACGACTTCGGGGACGGACAATACCAAAAAAGACGTGCCCGGTTCGAAAACTATCTCAAGCTTGTGAGCGACAACGGTGGAAACTCAATCAGTGAGCAATTATTTCTTGTTTGTTTTAGGTGTATGTCCTAAACGCCATCATTTCATTTTCATTACCTAGCATGAAAATCACACATAAGGTAGTATATCGAAATTATCACACCAAATAATACAAGCTTTGAGCAATACTTGTCATGCCTCACTGTAAAGTTCAGTTGTTGATGAAAGAATCATATATTCTAGGAGTGTGGGTTCACATCGAGGGCGCCACATCACCCCACTTCGACAGCAATGGAAACGTTTTGAGTCTCGATCAAAAGGGAACATTCCTGAGTGACATGCATGAGTTCCTGGAGTCGGCCAGAAAGTACAACGTCCTCGTCTTCTTCTGTCTTTGGAATGCTGCTGTCAAACAGAATCACGCCAATATGGACGGACTAATAAAGGGTACACTCTCAATGTTGGCTCTTCGGATGTCCTTCTGCTAGCCAAGTTTCGAAATACAATGTGACTTTCGTTTCCATTGCCATACAGGCCGATAAACACGGATCCCAACCTTCAGAGTTGATAACCCAGCATGGTACAGAATAATCAACCATCATGTTATATCTTTATGCTTCAAAATATACTTAATCTTCTTTTTAATTCCTATTTTCATCAGACATGACCAAGCTACAGAGTTACCTCGACAATGCCCTGATCCCATGGGTGAAGGCGGTGAAGGACGAACCTGCCATGGGAGGCTGGGACATCATTAACGAGATGGAAGGGGAGATGAAGAAGAACATGGCCAGTACAGACCCGTGTTACGACACTACCATACTTGCCCACAAAGGAACCGGTTGGGCAGGCCAGCTTTACTCGCCACAAGAGTTTCAAAGGTTAGTGAAACTAGATATTTTGAACATATGATCTTGCTCAGCATCCCAAATATAACATATGTTGTATTGTTCAGTCTTGTCTATATATATGTCATCTTGGAAATGAGATTAAATTTCACACATATTTTCAGGTATGCCTGTTAAAGTCTCTGAACATCTTGGACACGAATGAAGCACCAACCTTGCAAGTTTACTATGATGTCATCGTGATTTGTCCAGGACGTTCATACTTTGTTTTCAGTATGCTCCCAGGACAGCCATATTTAACACTTAATTTGCTTAAAACAAATGACATTGGTACCTCGGTGGTATTAAGCAGAGGTCAATGTTTGTTTGCTGCTTTTGAAGGCTGATCCTCAATACACCTTCACTTTTAAAAAACGCTTGGCCTCTTATGATCTGAATCTTCTGATGGCATTTAGATGTGATACACATCAAGGGGGAAATTTTATGGAAGTCAAATTCTGTAATATGAGGAAGTATATTCATATTCCTTCATCAGGTAAAGGAACGCTAGGGAACAGGTAACTATATATGTACAAATGAAAACAAAAAAAATGATAAGATAAGCACTGATAGGTAATGGACAAAGGGGGGCTGAAACAATTGGACTTTTGCACAACAGTCATACTTCATAATTAGGATATTGGTTTTATATGTTTCTACAAAATCACTAAATTCTCCATTGTATAACTGAATTTGTTCTGGTCCATTGATCACTTGATTGTCTGGTTTGTTCTCACTCTGTTGCTGCATGGCAAGACTCATGCAATACGTATGTACTTCTTTTAGAAATGATGGTGTTTATGGTAGGATCGGACATGCGTACCCCTTTTCACTAACACCAGTTGTTATCAATAATTTCTACTGGCCCATTCATGCAATTTTCAGAGGGGTTTTGCCCATCAAAATCGAATTTGTTTCTGAAGGCGTCCACACTAGTTATTCTTTTGTATTGACGCTTTCTATATGCATTTGTCTTACGATGATAGCTAATGGTTTATTGCATTGATATTCAAATGTTTAAAACATTTCTATTGCACAAATCTTTTTTTAAACAACAACCAAACACACCCCACATGCTTATGATATAGTAATCGTACCAAGATCTGTGCATGTAGCAGTGATAGTCAGTGGACCAAAGTTCTATTGATTAACTCAATGAGGGGAAACAGTTTATTGTATCTTGGTGTGCTGCAGGAAATGTGGAATGTCATAGTCGTCAGTGTGCTGCATGGTCAGTGCTTAGAAATGGCACTGGTACGCTGCTCTGAAAAATAAGAACTTGAAATCCATCAAGTCAGTACTGGCTCCATTTTGGTGACTGAAGTTATCCGTGTCACCAATCTGTGAACGCCCACAGTACTAAAATGTTTTGCATTTGTCTGAAATTCCATAATATCAAACACTTGGTTTTGCCGTTACAGATTCATTAACCGTCAGATAGCAGCTATTAAATCAGCAGATCCAGAAGCTCTTGTGACTGTCGGCTCTGGTTCTGACATGAGTAACAAGCTGGGTAGCCAGAACTACTACAGCGATACCTGCCTCATCAAATCAGGCGGCCAAAGAATGGTAAGTGGGTGTCTCAATACGAACTCACTGTTGTTAGTGTTTAGGATGGACTGCAGTGTAGAGGAGGGTCCACCAGGATGTCTAATAGCAATAAGTTGTAATTATGAACCATTGGAAAGTCCATCTTGTTATTTGCATACTGTCGTCTATAGTACATCTCTAAGATTGTTTTGTTATTCTGAAGATGATCTTCCTGTCACTTGCAGAGTGATACTGACATGTTCAATGTGCTTTTTTAATTCTCGATTTTCCTTTTCAGGGGACGCTAAGTTTCTACTCTGTTCATTCGTATGACTGGCAGGGCAAGTTCCCCTCCGACTCGCCTTTTCTGGTAAAATGGAACACTGGGTTAAGGGACCAATATAATATTTTTATTCCCCGGATTTGTCTTAGACAGAATATGTTTTTATGTCACCGTGTTTAGACATATATATTCTTCTGTGAAATGAGGAGTTTCTTTCCCTTTCCAAATAGATATGGGAAGTCCAGCGTATATTTCCCTCACCGTAATCCCTGAAGCATGCTTTCTTTTATATGATCGGTCAAGAGTGGATAAAGTTTTTTAAGAAAATAAAGACAATATATTCTATAATTATTGCCCATTCTTATATGAATGTTATATACACACCATGAAGACAAGATATATGTCATTCCATATCCGTTATCGGTTCGGACGTTAAATCACCTGTAATAATGTCTCGCAGTGTTATCTATTACGACCAAATCCCCCTCCCATGTTTCCGTGACATGGTTAAATCATAAAGTACAGAAAGCGTACGCTTCGACAGTCGGTCAATATCAAAATGGCAATGTCATACAATTGTAACCGAGATGAAATTTGGTCTAGCTTAAAAACTCAACCTTCGGCAAATAATGTTGGATCTAAAACAAGTCGGTAGAGAAGTCCACGATAAACAAAGCTAACTGACTCAGCCAATAGATCTAGTCTGAAATCACAAATATCCAGAGATAGTCTTTTTCCGAATAAGGCAAAGCAAATGAGCAATAAATTCAGTCTGAACTGAAGCAGGAGGATGTTAAGCATTGAATCCTATTCTGGTTACACGGGACAGGAGATGAGGCGTCGGGAAGCTGAGAGGGTCGAGAGTCTTGTTTTTGCGACCCATGGTATATTTCCTGTTGTACAAATACAAATAATATCAAAACTGATGTCAAAGGTATCTCTTGTATTTCTCGTCCGTTGCTGAATGAATACTGACAGCTAATACAATTCCCCAAATAAGGTACCCATTCACAGAATCACAATTCTTTGTCCATATAATTCTCAGCACTCGGCGTCTGAATATGGGGCGGACCGACCAATCATCATCGGAGAGTTCAGCCAGGTCAAAGGGGCTGGGATGAAGATAGAAGACATGTTCCAGTGGGCATATGATAAAGGGTATGCCGGAGCATGGAGCTGGCAGGCTCTGGCTACTGGAGGTGGATCTGACACCATCGATACCCAGACGAAGGCTCTCCTCTACATGAGGAACAAAGACGATCAGAGCAAAGGGGGTTTGGTCGCAATAAAGTTGTAATTGCTTTTGGAGTTTGTTGATATGTGATACTGCAACATATGGATTGACCATCACGACCATATCATGCTGGTGGGAGTTTTGTTGGTATGGTACATTTTACAAAGACGATTTGTGCCCTGAATTCCAGCATGGTGAAATGCTCAAGTTTCATACAGTTTCACCGATAAAATAGTGATTCTATAGAAGCTTACGGATCCAGTATAAACGTGGAATTAAAGGTAGAATTATACCCTGAATGTCACAACCACTTGGTACACTACGAATCGATCATGAAATAAGTATGTTCTGTTAGGCTGGCGACACTATTTGCTTTGCATTAACAGGAGAAGTCAATAAATAACATGACCAAGGCGCACATTGCTACAAATGTCGGTTATATTCGTGTTGTAACTAACCTGATACAATGTTCAGGACAGACCAGGAAGACATCAGACAGACCAAGAATAGGCAGACCTAAGGTAAACTACATCCAATGGGGACAGGCACATGCGTACTTTGCATCACCTGAATCGATTCCTGAAATTGACGTCATCAGTTACAAATACCTTGGGGCATATGATTAGAGTTGCTAGGCGACTCAAGACTCAAGGAATTTGGGCTCATAGACCTTACAGAGGACAGTTATTGACTGTGCAGCATATATCATATCATATTCTGATATGAAACTATGGTAAGGTTTCTTTTTGATTTAGTTAATAATAGTTAACACAAGTTGGCAGCCCCACAAATGTGCATCAAGTAAAACTGTCAATGTATCGGCACATCCACCTACAGTTGTATGTATCCATGGCAACAAGCAGGAAGTAGGTTACAGGTCTCCATGATGTCCTTGACATGTATCTTTAAGGACGGTTGAGGTGTTCCTTCCACAAAATGTTCAACAGCTGGTATAACAAGTAAAAAACACATTGAGATAATTATCTGACCATGTGCTATATAAGAAACTTATCTATTTGAACCAGTCTGACCGCGCGCCGTTTCAGTGCCCAAACACATCCACACAATGACGGTAGGTGTATATATATATTGTGTAGTTGGATAAATATTTAGTCAGACTAACTGCTGTTCATATGTTTTGTCTTAAATGAATATCCGACAAAATAGTATTTTGTTAACACTGAAACAAATTAATAGCATCTATTTCTTCACAAGATATATCCCACTTGAGCAATATGGTTGAGAAATTTGGTTGAGTAAACCCTATTCCTCTCACCTCTACAAGCAGAAAACAATACCAATTTCGACAATATTTTGGCCTATATTATATATATACTACCCACATAAAGAAACTGTGCACACAGAAAATGCCTTCATAATTGGAATACAACACTGCAAAGACGAAATGATATAGACACTTTATAAGCTGAAGTATCGGACCACAAGAAAATGTCAAAAGAACATGAACAATATCCGTAACGATGACGTCAGATGTTCAAAATCGAGTAGGGGGTCACACGACGAAGTCACAAAATCAATAACGGGTATGACCACCATGTGCGTGAAGCACAGCAGTGCATCGAAGACGCATAGAGGCTACCAAATGAACATTGAAGGCCTGGGGAATGGTCTGGGGCGTGGTCACTGCTGTCTGGAACCTGTATTTGAGATGAGTCACCCGAATCCACCTGTCTTGTCTTGGCATCGTTACGTCGAGAACGCCCAGAACGTGGGTGGTCGGCGACGTCATTACTGTTTCGATAACGCCTGACCCATGCAGATATCGTGTTACGATGGCATTGGAAATGTGCTGCCACCTGTTGTTGGCTCATTCCTGCTCGAACCATTCCAATGGCTTCATGACGTTGAGCAGATGTTAATCTTGGCATGATGTGCATGTGACTTCTCATGTGGATTTGTGAACTTTTGAATGACCAAAGATCAAGCTTTCGACAGTGACATCAATTTCTGAGTTTCACATGTTGTGTGCAGCTGTACGGGCTGCACGTGCAGTAACACATTGCAAGGCCATAGGCCACTGTCAATGATGTCACGTCGCCTGGCACGTGCATGAGCGTTTGATTGTCTCCAATACTTGCTATGTTCACAAATGTATTTATGTATAAATACGCTGTGTGCCTATATTTATATTTTCTGTGTGCACAGTTTTTTTATGTGGCCAGTATATATTGGGGCATATGCACTCACTTTAGCTTCCTATTGATGCAAGAAAAGATTTATTATCCCTTACGACTTGGCTGAAATCGATAATTGAAACTTAGAGGCGAACAGCTTCCAAACAGAGAACACTTATGAAATGTCAACAACTGGTCCGTACACCGAAAACTGTCGCACGCGGTGTTATTGGTGTTTGCCGGTTTCAGTCACAATTTGTGCGTAGAATATTCCTAATTACAAAGAGCGCTCCAAGGGACATAAGTCTCTGGGGTTCGCTGAAATAATGTTCGGCCGGTAGAGGGCGCGAGAGTCGATTAAATGCCACATTGCATTAATCCATTCGAACTTTTTAATTGAATATTGTAATCTAAATGCGTAATTTTTAAAATTAATTAAAATAAATTTGTATATGGTAGCTTCCGTGAGGGCTGATAGTATTATTGAGAGAAATGCATAATGTATTTTTAGAGAAGTGTGGTGTAGTGCCTTTAAGAACATAAATATCGATATATAAAGTATATTTGAATGATCATTATATACATATACATATATTTTAAGTACATTAATCTATATTCATAGGAACTATTTTTTCCTCCGCAGCCGCAGCTCAACACGTGTGCTGTATTACTACTTGCTGTATTTGTAAACTCTTATGGTAGGTGAAGACATGCTGGAGAACGATTAATCTCTCTTCTCTTAATTTGTAACATAAAACATCTTATTAATCAATTTACTACCTTAATCAATTTGTAGATGTACCTACTCTATAAAAGTTTCAATGTTGAATTTCTCATCAACTATTTACCATTTGATACATATGGAGTCTAACTGATAACTTATTCTCAGAAATCGGTTGTCTACCTTTCCAACGCGAGATATTGCTGATATGGATGCCTGTTTCAGACACGACCGTGGGACTTGTTAACAGAACGCGTGCGACTGGGTTCACTGTTGCAGCAAGAAGTTTGTATTTAAAGAGATGACATAATTTTTTGTCTGATTTAATAAGTTTTTCAAACATCGGAATTTGTGGAGAAAATGTTGCTTCACGATCAACGGTATTTGTTACTGAGTTATGATCCTTCATATCCACAAACACATCAATAAGGTTGTCCCTTTTTTTCCTCTGATTCCCATCTCCCCAAACCTCTGAATTTTCGTACCTGATTTTCCCCTTAACGTTGCGGGAATGTATGCCCGTATGAGTTATAAAATATACTCTTCCTTTGCACACTGATTAAAAAACAAGTACACTTGATCTCTCTTCTACATTTATTAACAAATTGGTGACTCGATCTACATCATAAATTAATTTCATAATGAATTACAAAGTGATCTAAATTTTGAAATTTCACAATACAAGTTACACAATTTGTAAAAAAATATTATATTTTCATTAATTTGTATTTTTTTTTCGCCCGTCCGCTATTTTGCTGGTTGAGGCAGGAGATCAAGATTACAATACATTAAATACCTTTATAATCTGTATCTTGAAAAATCAGTGATGTTAGAGGGTGGTTATTGTGATGTTACCCATGTACAATTACCATTGCTCAAAAGCCACTTTGCCAAACAAAACGTCTACATATAAACTTTACCTATCCAATAAAATCACATATTACCACTATGTTTCAAGCGATATCTATGGTTAAAAATTGCTTTGAACTAAATTATCAGTGACTTTAGTTCCTTCAGAAATTCGTCTACTTGGGTTGTTGTTTAACGCCGCACTCAGCAATATTCCAGCTATATGGCGGCGGTCTGTAAATAGAATCTGGACCAGACAATCGATCAACAGCATGAGCATCGATCTACGCAATTGAGAGACGATGACATGTGTCCACGAGGTCAGCGAGCCTGATCACCCAATCCCGTAAGTCGCCTCTTACGACATACATTGGTTACTGAAGATGAATTCTAATCCGGATCTTCACGGGTCGGGTGTTGAGTACAAACACACATGTTTTGTTCATAGATGGAGGCCGTTTGAAGATTCAAGGAAAGCACTTTGTAAAAGACGGACAGCGTGTATTTTTGTCAGGCGTTAATCTGGCTTGGATAGCGTACGGATACGACTTCGGGGACGGCCAATACCAGCAAAGACGTGATAGGTTCGAACACTATCTCAAGCTTGTGAGCGACAACGGTGGAAACTCAATTAGTGAGCATTAAGTTCTAGTTTGTCTTTATCTGGACGTCCTCAAACGCCATCGTCTCATTTTTGTAGAGTTACCTGTCCGAGAAGACACACAAAAGTAAGCGTGCCATTTAAAAAAACTACATTATCACACCAAATAATAGAAACTTTGAGCAATATTTTCATACCTCACTGTGAAGTTTTACTGTTGCTGGAAAGATTAATTTATTCTAGGAGTGTGGGTTCACATCGAGGGCGCCACATCACCCCACTTCGACACCAAGGGAAACGTTGTAGGTCTTGATCATAAAGGAACATTCCTGAGTGACATGCATGAGTTCCTGGAGTCGGCCAGAAAGTACAACGTCCTCGTCTTCTTCTGTCTTTGGAATGCTGCTGTCAAACAGAATCACGCCAATATGGACGGACTAATAAAGGGTACACTCACAATGTTGGCTCTTCGGATGTCCTTCTGCTAGCCACGTTTCGAAATACAATGTGACTTTCGATTCCATTGCCATACAGGCCGATAAACACGGATCCCTTAAAGTTTTGATGTATCTGTTGCACTCGATGAAAATGTCTATACCTAATCTGTGAATGTGGATGGATCCTCACCTTCAGAGTTGATAACCCAGCATGGTACAGAACAAACAACCATCATGTCATATCTTTGTGTTTTAAAATATACTTAATCTTCTTTTTAATTCCTATTTTCATCAGACATGACTAAGCTACAGAGTTACCTCGACA